TAGCAGGGTCAGCCTGGGTTTCCATTAAAAAAAAAAAAAAAAAAAAAAAAGCCATATTAGAGGAAAAGTAGCCTTTGAAAAAAACAACGAGGACATGCACAAAGGAGGCTAATGATCCAAGAACCTTTAAATGATTAAATTAATTTAAATAATAAATCTGCAAGTTGCAAGCTTTTAAAAACGCTCTTGCAACTTTTTTCAAAGTTTCCGGTAATCGACGGACACGTTTCAGCCTCGCTGTCAAGCCATGTTACTTTGCTGAATTTGAAGAAAAAAACAATTCTGTGAAGCAAGATACGTGCCTCCAATGTGTCAGCACATCGTAAAGGACTATCTTCCTCTGTTATGAAGCAACACATCCTGGGGAAAAAAAAAAAAAAAAAAAAAAAAAAGGAAACGAGTCGTTTGGGTAATGGGCAGATGTTCCAGCCTCGCTGTCAAGTCATCATGTTGCTATCGCTACAGTCCAAAAAAAAAAAAAAAACTTAACAAATGTCTATAGCAGCCCCCACAAGATGCTTGTCCTGGGTCCTCGCACACAGCCACCTGCATCCCTAGGTGTAAAATTCTACAGTGGCTTCGTGGAGCACGATCCGAAAAGATGCTGCAACCCTCTTCAAAAAAAAAAAAAAAAAAAAAAAAAAAAAAAAAGGGGGTCAATCTATAGCAGCCCCCACAAGACGCTTGTCCGTGGACTTGGCACACAGTTTAGACGGAGCATCGTTGAAAAAAAAAAAGTGCTTTCAACAGTCCGGCAGAGTTACCGTGGGAATGTGGCACACTGTCGACAGTGCCCCTCACTGATATGGTCAATCATTACGAGTCAAAATTTCTCAAAAAGGAAAGCCAGGACGCAGAGCTTCAAGATGTACGCCGGGAACAATGTGCAAAGAGTCCCACAGAAATGACGAACTCGGATATCAATCCTCAGATTGGCTGCGGACAACAAACCTCGGTACCGACCTGCCGCTTAGTGCCGACTTCGACTTAAACCACCAGTACTTGGCCCAGCTTTCGGCCGTGGAAAAAAAAAAAAGTAGAAACGTGTCCAGTCGGATGAATCTGGGCGCTCCTGTAATGGCCCGTATGTCTCCTAAAATTGTGGCTTGTTAGTGGGCATGGCTTTAGGAAGAACTGGTGGTTTTAGTATTGTCAGCAGAAGAACCTTTGCAAACACAAAGCATTTACTATGTTGGCTCGGATACCATCCCAGCATTGGAAGATATAGTCAGTGCTTAAAACAACAGATCGTCATGAAGTCGTGCCCGTATACAAAGCCACAATTTCAGGAGAAGTACGGGAAGATATTGTCAGTGCTTAAAACAACAGATCGTCATGAAGTCATGCCCACATACAAAGCCACAATTTCAGGAGACGTACGGGCCACTACAGGAGCGCCAAATTCATCCGACTAGAAACATTTTGAGTACTTTGTACTCGATTTTTTTTCTGTGGCCGATTGCTTGGCGATATACTGGTGGTTTAAGAATCGAAGAGGAAAGAAAGGAGACCGAGCTTTGGATATGCACGGCAGGGACAATGTGCAAAGTGCACCACATAAATGGACTTGAGATGGCAAGTGGATATCTTTGGAAAGTCGTCACAAACAGAACTGCCCGGTAAAACCGTAGGCAGAGAGAGAGAAGAGGACAACAAACGAGGGGCTGTGACAAACTGTTTCGTCGGAGTTTCACCGACTCATATATATATAATATATATGACTTTCCCCTCATTTGTTGACCTCTTCTCCCTCTCTGCCTACGGTTTACCGGGCAGCTCTGTTTGACTATATATCATATATATATAAATATATTAATTTATCAGTATTATTTCAAATGTTTTTAGCGATGTTATCATATAATTTTGTTCATGAAGTCGCTTTTTAGCGATGTTCTCGTATAATTCTGTTCATGAACTCTCACTTGCAGGTAGTGAGCAACATTACGGGTGCCACACAACATCGAAAAAGAAGAGAAAATGTGAATGAGTTAACTCGTCAATTGTTCCGATGCGAATGATGTGAACCGATCTCCACAGTGGTTGTGAACAACCAAATGCCAAAGACTTGCGGACCCGGCAGAGATGATTGCAATAACTCAGGTCAAATATGCACCAGCAGTCCAGGAAGTTTTTCATGCGGGCGTGACGCCTGGGGGGGGTCTGATGCCCCGGGTACCCGGGCGTGCAAAAAAAAAAAAAAAAAAAAGCCTTTCTGCGCTTTCCCAGAGGACCCCAAATCCGGGCTCATTTCATTTTCTGAGAGTTGGCTGTCAAGGGGGGAGAGGGGGGTATAAATTGCTTTTAAAGGGGCTAAGAGGGGTTAAAGGGAGGTCCTTTAGTGTGATTTTGTTATTTTCTTTTTTATCGGTGAGGAATTCTGATGTGATCCTCAGCCAAAAGTTCTCCATATTGCAATTCTACACAACATATTTTTTTTCTGGAATTTTTTGAGTTTCGTGTTTTTTTTTTTTTTTTTTTTTGGGCGCTGGAGCTGCCTGGAACCCTGCCCGGGGGTCATGCCCGGCCGGGCACCCGGGCGTGTACCCGGGCACAAGTTGGGTGCCCGGGCGCCCGGAAAAACAACCTAGCCGGCAGTGGGCTGTGGGTTGTCAATTTTGGTCGAAGGCCTAAAACGGGGGTCCAACATCACTCCCAAGTCGAGAAAATGCCTGCGCGAAGGCTGCGAAGGCCTACTGCTGTGGGGTACTGAAGGCAAGGCCAGAACCGGCCTTCATAGGCCCAGCGTGAGACAGCTGACCTTGGCAAAATCAACAGAGAACCTCAGCTTGTGAATTCAGGCAGGCCCATGAGTCAAAGTCAACATGAATCTAGCCTTGGCCGTAGATCAGAAACACACCTTTGGTTGTCTGCAGGTATCCGGAAGGAATAAAGACCAAGTGGAAATCTGCAACTGTACGAGATCCAGGCCATTGGCTAACAGACGATCTGGGCTCAAGCTTTAATTCCAAAAATATAGCATGCAACAATCTTCCTTCTGGAAAGATGTAAAGACTCTCCCGGTTCTCTAGGAGTTAATGTTAATTTGCCTACTAAAACATCTCCAGTTTTAACCCAAGAACCTTATAAAATTAAATTAATTAATCCATTAACATCTAGATTGCAAAGTGAATATTCACTAACATGAGGAATTTTCTTAGTGATGTTTTCAGGTCCTAAGTTTGTCATAATCACTTGACTCAATTCTCTCTCTCTCTCTTTTTTTAACCGGGTATCTTTTTCTCTTCTATACGTAAAAAAAGAAAAAAGAAAAAAAAAAAAGGGTACTCAGCCGGGCGAAAATCGGGGAATGTGTGCGTTGAGCGGTTGAAGTCTGTGTGGGAGTTTATTGCTTATCATCCGCACATGGACACATAGCGCTGGCGGGCATCAGTCCGGTTGTTCTTCCCTGGCAAGAATTTGAACAGTTTTTAACAAGGAAACGGATTAGGGATGGCCTGGGTGAACCGCCACGGCCGAAATAAAGACTTTGTAACTGTCCCTTTTTTTTTTTTTTTTTCCCCTAAAGTTGACATTTATACAGTTACGGCCGCCGTTTGCTTTTTTTCCCTAAAGTTGACATTTATAGAGCTACGGACACTTCTTCATGTGTTGTACGCTCTTCTTTGATGAATGGGACAAAGCAGGGCGCTAGCAAGGCTTCTGAGGACTGCGCTTCGACATGCACCGATATTCATAACCTAAAGAGCAATAACTATGAAGAATATTGGGCCAGCGTTATTAAAACCCCTTTCTAGAAAGGGATATATTTAGTGACTTATCCCTTTTCTAGAAGGGTTTTTTAATAACGCTTCCATTGTTGCCTTCCAACCCCAATAACTACATATACACGATAATGTTTTTCTTTCTCCGAGGCACCTTTTGCAGTAATATGTTTCTGACTCAATCCAGTTTTTTTTTTCTGAACTTCACTCTGCTAAAATGTCAAACATAACCTATCAATGAGTTTGCATAGAGGCTCTTGACGAGTCGTAACTTGGATGAAAGATTCTTTAAAACTTACCTCTCTGCAATTCACCGTGTCGGTTTTTTTTTTTTTTTTTTTTAAGCCCTTGTAACATCCCTCTATCTCAGCGGCGGTACGAGAACCGCCGAAATTGGGGGCTTGTCTGTCGGGCTGCTCCATCTATTGGTGGGGAGCGGCACCTGCTGGAAACGGGTGTCTTTGTGATGTTGTGGGTAGTGTGTGTTGCATGTGGTGTGTCTGTTGTGTCTTTTATTTGATTTTCTTTTTTTATAGTTTTTTTATTATAGGATACATATTGTTTCTATAATATTGTTTAGTGTTGTGTGTGTTACACGTGTTATGTGTGTTGTACGTCTTGCATGTGTTTTGTGTTATGTGTGTGTGTGTGTGTGTGTGTGTGTGTGTGTGTGTGTGTGTGAGAGAGAGAGAGAGAGAGAGAGAGAGAGAGAGACAGAGAGAGAGAGACAGAGAGAGAGAGACGGTTGACAGCAATGGGGTATGATATGGTAGAAGGTTCCCCAGCATTACAGGGGTACCAAGCGAAGAGAATTCAAAATGGTGGAACGGTCCCACGACCTGGGGCATGGGCCCAAACTTGATGCCTGTTGTGCAGGGGCATACCAAAACGTTTGAAGTGCAGCAGGGTATGGGACAAATTTGTGAACTTTTGGGGGTAACACAAAAATTTTGCCGCATAGGACAAATTTGACAAACAAGATATTAAAAAAAAGGGTGAAACAAGACAACAGAATGAAAAGCAGAAAGCACAGAGTAGCAAACAGAAAATCAGGACAGACAGAACAAACAGCATGAGTGTTTGTCCTCGACCCATCCATCATACAGCTGAAATCCTACGACGACAATTAAAAACAAAAACAAAAACACAAAAAAAGAGGAAGACTCACAAATTAGAGAAGGGCAGGGAGAAGGGACACATGATGAAGTTTCAATCAAGTGCATTTCTTTACTATCTATTTTCACAAATGACCTTCTAGTTCTTTTTTTTATTCTCTATTTTTACAAGTGCACTTTACTACAATCTGCACTTTTTTAAAAGAGAGGGAAAAAAAAAAAAAAAAAAAAAAACAAAAAAAAAAACAGAAAACAAATGCACTTTTAGTTATGGATAAGAAAAGCATGCCCGAGGTTGACATCAACAAAAAAAGAAATACAAACAGCAGTGAAAAGAGAAAATCCACGAACTGCCTCATCATCCAATCTCCGAACCTCTGCAATCAATCAATCAAACAATCAATCAATCGATCAATCAATCAATCAATCAATCAATCAATCAATCAATCGATCATGGAACCAAGAAACGGTACCCTACTTTTTCTTTTTTTTTTGGCTCATAGCATACCCACCCACACTTGGGGGACTTCTTCGGACCGAATCTGTCAGTAATTGCGGTCAGGTGCATGCCGGAAATTCCTAGTGCGAACATACATGCATATATACATATATATGCCCTCCCTCATTCAAACCACCTCTATCGAAAATCCTCCCCGCCTTTTCCCTCCAATGGCTCCTCCTCCTCCCTCCTGTCTCCCTCAGAGCATCCCCGCACTTGGACTTCTTTGACCGAATCTGGCAGCAATTGCAGTCAGGTTCATCCAGGAAAGTCGGTAGTGTGAGAGTATACAACTCCCTTTCCTCCCTCACTCAAACCACCTCTGCAAATTCTCCCGCCCTTTCCCTTCCGTTCGTTCTCCTCCTCCTCCTCCTTTCTCCCTCAGAGCATACCCCCACTTGGAAGACTCCTTTGACAAAATCTGGCGCCAACTGCAGCCAGGTTCATGCCAGAAAGTTCTATTGTGACACACAGTATATATCCCTTCCTTCCCTTCCTCCCCCTCACTGAAACCACCTCTGCAAATTCTCCCGCGCTTTCCCTTCCGTTCCCCCTCCTCCTCCTCCTTTCTCCCCTACGCTGAAGTACTTGTTCCTATAAGCAGCCACGAGAGAATCCAGCCGAAGCTCAGCATCCCCTCCCTCCATTTTCTTCTTCTTACTCCTCTCTCTCCCACCTCTCTGCTTCTCCGACCCAGCTGCCTTGTACTCGCCGAATGGAAGGTTCTTGAACGCTGGGTCTAGGTCTTCCCCTCCCTTTCGAGGACCAATCACAGCCACCACTTTCTCACTCCCCCTCCTCCCTCCACGCTCTGTCAACAACAGCTTGTCAGGACCACCACTCCTCTCTTCTCTCCCTCTCTCTCCTCCCTTCTCCACCCTCTTTCTCTTCAACTCCCTACCTTTCCCTGATTCCTTCTCCTCCCTCTCCTCACCCTCACCGCCTTTCCTCTTCTTCGATTTCCCCGCCGCCGCCATAGCCGCCGCCGCCGTCGTCAAACCTTCCTTTGACTTCGATTTCCCGCCTTTTCTCCATCCTCCTCCTTCCTCCTCCTTCCCGCCTTTTTTCCAGCCTGCCGATCCTCCCCCCTTCTTCCCGCCATTTTCAACACCCCCTACTCCCTTTGATCGCTGGCTCTTCTCCTTCTTCCCCTTCTGCCCCTTCTGAGCCGCCGCCGATCTCTCCTCCTCCTCCTCACCAGCACGATCACCACTTCTTCTCCTCTCTCTCCCCTTCTCCCTCCCAGCGCCGTTATCGCCACCACCGTCATCGCCGGCAGCTTTCATAGGTCTTCCTTCCCTCCCTCCTGGCCCCCCCCCCCCCCCCCCCAACTCTCCTATTCTTCCCTGCCAGCTGTCGCAATTTAGTCTCCCTCAACTGCACCTTCACCTTGTTCTCCACAGCGAAGCCTACTATAGGTCGCCGCTCCGCACTAAACGTTTTAGGGTTGTTGTTCATCGCTCTGAGCGCAGTTAACGCATGCTGATGCTCGTCGAACTCGACGAATCCGATACCACGAGACTTCCCGGCAGGTTGGATCCTCCTCCTTGCCCCTCCTCCCTTTTGCTCATCTCCTAGCACGTTCTCTCTCAAGATCTTCACCTGCCTCAGCTTGGGCACTTGCTTCGTCGCGCGCTCTCTCACTGCCCTCACCACCACTCTCTTCAGCTCTTTTTCATCCATGTCCCTCGGTAGGTTATGAATTGCCAGTCTGGTCTTCGACACGTAAAACTTTGGACTCCTCAGTTTCGTTTCCCGCTCTTTCTGCAGCCTTTGTCGTTTCTGCAAGTCGTAGTCGGACATCTGCGCCGCCGCCGCGCTCCCCTCCTTTATCAACCCCTCCTCCAGGAGGTTCAGATTGCGTTTATCTTTCTCCCTTAACTTGTGATCTTCCTTCTCTTTCATCTTCTCCTTCACGAGATCCTTAACGACGTCTTTACCAAGAGCTCTGGCGACGAACAACGATCGGCCTCCCAGCACGAGAGCAGAAGTGGATATGGAGGAAGAAGAAGAAGAAGAGGAGATGGCAGCCGATGACGATGACAGCTTCGACGCGGCAGCGATTGCCTTCTCCACCGCCTCTGGGGAGTGATACTCTACAAAAGCTCTTCCTTTCGGTCGTTGAGTTATTTTGTGTAGAACTAATCTGCAAAACTTGATCTTCCCGAAAGCCGACAGTTTTTCGCGGACTTCGTCCGCCGTAGCATCTGTTGGAAGATTGCTCACAAAGAGGGTACACGCCATCTTCTCCTTCTCTCTCTCTTGTTTCTCCCTCTCTTTCTCTTCCTTCTGCTCTGCAGTTTGTCCCGCTACTACACCCTCGTCAGCTTTCGATGCTCTCTTGTCACTTCGCTTCCCCGCCTCTTTCCCCTCCTCCTCCTCCTCCTCATTCTCATTCTCCTTCCTCTCCGCACGTCCGATAGCCTCAGCGGCTGGCGCCACTTTCGTTGATCGCTCGGCGTTCTGGCCGTCAGATGATGATCGCTCGGCCGCAGCCTTTGCAGACACTTCTCGAAGCACCTTCATCATTCTGCTGAGTTCATTCTCTTCTCCATCGCCGGGAGATCCATCGGCAGCAGGGCCATTCTTCCCAGCCTCACCTGCTCTCGCTTCGCCGCCAACTTTCACCTTTCCTACGTTGGCCTGCGCTAATCCCGCCGCCTCCTTGGTCTCTCCTTTGCTCTTCTTCTCTCTCGTAATTTCCCTGTCCAGTCCTCCATCACCAATTGCAAGATCGTCATCATCATCCTCATCTTCCTCATCATCCTCATCATCCTCATCATCATCCGACGAAACTTCGTCCAAATCTTCCTCTTCCTCATCATCCTCATCATCCTCGTCATCCTCATCATCCTCATCATCCTCTTCATCATCGCCATCATCATCAGCTTCGTTCGTCGCAGCCTGTTCACGACGATAAGCGATCTTCTTTTTCGAGGCGATGGCGGTGGCGGCGGCGATGCCCTCCTCCTTCCCCTCTTCATCGTCGCTTGCTGACGTGGCACCGTCACGTTCATCGTCATCATGACCTCTTGTGCGGTTCTCGTAGCTCTCGCTCGCTGTCGAAGCGTCATCATCATCATCATCATCATCATCTTCATCGTCGTCGTCGCTGTCATCCATCGCCATCGCCGTCTTCTTATCCTTCTCGGACTTCTTGTCGCCGCTCTCCAAGCGGGCTGCTAAGTACTCGTCTCGAGGCACTGCCCAGTCAACAGCCACCGTACGATTCAAGATCTCCTTCCCGTTCATCATCTCTATGGCCTTCTCTGCATCAGCTTTGCTCGTATAGCCGATAAAGGCAAAGCCTCGCATTTTCCCATCTGGCTTGCGCGGGATCGAGACCTCCCAGACAAATCCCGACGTGGAGAACGCCTCCCTCAACACTTTGTCTGTCGCTTTAAAAGGTATGTTCCTCACGATCAGTCTCCATCGATGAAGCTTACCTCCTTCTCCTCCCAATTGCCTAGCCCAAAGCTGTATACCACCTCCTCTTCCGCCCCCTCCCCCTCCCCTTCCACCGCCGCCGCCGCCGCCGCCGCCGCCGCCAAGGACACGACCATGAACGTTGGCGACGAAACTCCTCGCTGACCTGATGGCATTGAAGACAATCATACAAGCAGGAGGGCGGCAGCCATCGGCGTCAAGATGACTCTTCTTGATCTCCTCAGAGGAGATGCTCTCTGCCACTTCCTCCACCTCTCCTATTTCCTTCGCCCTCGCTACGACCGCCTCTCTTATCTCTTTACCCTTGAGATTGCCGACAACAACGGTGCGTGCAGGTTTTTGACGCTCTGATCCGCGATGCTCCGTTTCCTGCGCTTGCTTGGCTGTCGTTTGCCCCACCTCCTTCTTTTTCTTCTTCTTCCCCTCTTCTCTCCCTCCTCCTCCTCCTCCTCCTCCTCCTCCTCCTCCTCCYCCCACTCCTTCCACCCGCCCCTTCCCTGCCATCTCTTGCCTCGACGACGGCCCGTCATCGCCATGGGGCCGCACTTCATCATCCTCACCAACCTTCCTCCTCTTCTTTCGACGATCTCCCCCCTTCGTTTCCTTCTGCGCCTCTTCTTCTTCCTCCTCCGCCGCCTTCTTCCTCCTTTTCTCGTCTCCGCCGCCTTGGTTCTCTTCTCCCTTTCTCTTCCCCTTTCCTCTCTCCATAGCTTCCCCCCCCTCCATCTTCCCCACCGCCTCTGATTGCTTCTTATCTACTTCTCCTGCCCTCTTTCCAATCGTTTCCCCCCGCCCATCCACCCTCTCCCTAGCTGTCGTCTTTGCTCCCTTTCCTCTCTCATTCGCTCCATCCTGATCGCCATCGCCGTCCCCTCCGACTTTCTTCCTCTTCCTCTCTTCGAAGGGAGCCCTCCGCCGCGCGATCTCCGCCGTGATCGCGCGGCCATCTACCTTTGCCCCCGATTTCTCCGCCACCGCCCGCTGCGCATCTTCCACCAGAGCGAACTGGATGAAACCGAATCCACGGCTCTCGTTGCTCCCCTTGTCACGGATCAAAAAACACTTCCTGATAGGCCCGACAGCCCCAAACACATCCTCAAGAGTGCTCTCCGTTGTGGCAAACGATAGATTACGGACGAAGACTGTGCGGCGACTCACATCTGGGCCATCACCGACTTTATCCCCCGATGCGGCCGCCGCCATAGCTGCTGCTCCTACGTCATCCTCACCGGCACCGGCATTACCTCCCCCTCGCTTATCACTCCCCCGCCAAACCATGGCAGCAACGTGGGGATGACACGTAAGCCGCTCACCACCTCTATCCTTCCTTCCTTAGCAAGATGGGTTCCAATCCCTCCCTCCCCCCACACCCCCCTCTCCCTTTCCCCGACCTTATCCTCTGAATCACTCACTGCTCCTAAGGCCCCATCATCGCCTCCTCCTTGGTCTAGCTGTTGTGATCATCAATACAGGTCCCAATACCGAAAATGCCAGCCAACAACACGTTGCCAACGTCAATGCCTTTTCGATTCAACCTCACGCATCCTCTCTCTCTCTCTCTCTCTCTCTCTCTCTCTCTCTCTCTCTCTCTCTCTCTCTCTCTCTCTCTCTCTCTCTCTCTCATTTTCACATCAATCTACCCCTCTGCCGTAACAGAAAGCTCAAT